TATTTTTATTTCTGTGTTTCACTAATCTTATATGCTTTTAAGTAACATGAAACAGAATAATATAATTATAATTAATCGACTGTTTTAATTCTTTTATTATTTTGTTGGTTTAAAATTGGTTTTATTAATTATCAATATCAAACACATTTTATTTGAAAATATTCTTTTGATATCAATTCTATATTGAATGAATTGTCATTTCTTTTATTATTGATATTTCTTTCATAATAACTACTGAACTTATTGTTAATTTCATTGAGATTAAAATTATGTTCAGACTTATCTAGTTATTATGATAATTTTATGAAGTATTAAAGTTTAGAATGAGAAGAGATAGTATAAAAATACAAAGGATGATAGAATAAGAAGAAATTCACCAAATGGAAGAATATCCAGTATATCATTTGACTCAGATAATGTTGTTTTGAATAAAGAAACATCGGTATTTGATCAAAGAATAATGAATAAAAAACATATAATAATTATTAGTATTGAATAAAGAACATATAATAATTATTATTGAAGTTCAGATGGAAATAAATTTGGAGGATATGTTAATTAAAAATTGATAACAGTATTCGTAATACATTTAATGATTATATAAAAGATTCAAAATCATTTGTGTTTTCATTAAAGTCAAAAGGAAGAATGAAAGGAATGATGAAATTTTTATATTCAAGAACCACAACATGCAATTAAATTATTTAATCAACCAGACACTGTTTGTTTTCACTTGGAAAAGTGAATCTAACAATATTCCTGTTAACAAAGAAAATAATAAAGCAAAGTCATATTGTCTTCAATTCCATTTGAAGATAAATGAACTTGAACAGACTTTTAGAAGATGTAATTTTACACTACAGCAAATCAGAATAATTGACATGAAACACCTTGTATTAATTCATATCTTTGATTTAAATATAGAATATTAGAAATGAAAATTAAAAAGAATATACAAACATCTCTTGAATCTTCAAATATATGAAAAGATAAATATAAAATGAACAGATTTCAGTTTTAACAATCATTCTTTTTATTGTCATTTATTAAATAAGAAGAAATACATGTATAAATGAGTCAAATTATAAAAAAATTTATTAATGATACAAGTTTATAGGTTTTTTTTCTATGAAGCGAAATTCTCTAATTCAAAGCAATACAATTCATAGATTATCCATTTATTTATTATATGAAACTGAACGTCATTTCTTAATTTTAAATAATGGATTAAAAAAAATTTTAGTATATTTTATTAATGTTACTTATATTAAAGGTTTTGAACCACTTATTGGCTAAACACATATTCTTAATGTTTAAAGTGGCGCTTTATATTTACTAATTATATTGTTTAACTCTTTATTTGTTTGTAGTTGCAAGAGAAGGGAATAAAAATATAAATTTTTGTTTTTTTTTGATAAGGAACAATGATAAAAATAAGATTGTTGTTTAGGTAGTAGTTTTTGATGTTTATTTTTTTAGGGAAGTAAAATGAAAAAGATGGGAAAAAGATCATCTCTTGAAAATTGGAAATGAAGGTCAAAATGAACTTAAATGAACTCAAAAACAAAGACTATGAATAAACCACAAAGTATTAACTTTGAAGCACTTGATGATAACTGTCCTCCAGAACAATTACCAGAGTCATGGAAAATTATATTAAGAGAAGCTGGTGTTAAAAAGAAAGACCTTCAAAATCCAGAAACAAGAAAGAAAGTATATGCTTATATGAGACAATCAGTTTATGTTAAAAAAACTCAAGAAGAATTAGATAAACAGAAAGTCTCTGCTCATGATGTTAGAAGGATGTCTGTTTCTGTAAAACAGAGATATAAAGTCATAGAAGGAAAACAAAGAACACAACCCAACTTTGTTTCTGCTAAACCACAAACTGATGTTAAACAAAGTTCTTTCTTAAGTACAAGACAACCACATATGAAATCACCAAACACTACTCCTCAACACCAAACACAATCACCTTCTGTGACTTCAACAAAAACAACACAAGCTTTGTTTCAGAAAACTTCTACTTCTCCATCAATAAAATTTGGTCAAACACCAACTAAACAACAAACTAATGTAGAAAATTCTCCTACCAGAATAAAAACTCCAGAAAAACCAACACTTACCAACTCAAAAAGTCCTGAGTCCCAACAACCAATAACACCTAAACCTACTGGTTATGGTTCTAAAACTCCTTCGTCTTTAACAACACAACCTAAATTACAAACAAAATCTAATAGTATGTTTTCGAAAAAATCAGTTAAACCAGCAACTACATCTAGTACAACAAATAAACCTTCTAGTACATCAACACCTACTGTTAGTACACCTTCTAGTAATAATGTGTCATCAACTCAAAAATCACAAAATTCATCATCATTTGCTCCTCATGCTTTTGGTTCAAAAGTTGATACGTCTGCAAAGTCAGGATCAGTTAATAATCCCACTCACTTTGTTTCTAGTCCTCAACCACAACCTATTACAAAGAAATCATTTACAACGCCATCTTCTTCAACTCTTAAACAAACAACTCCATCACAACCACAAAGCTCTTCAATTAACTCATTTAATAAATCAAGTGTAGTTAAACAAACTACTACTTCCTCAGTTAATACTAGTAAACCACTAACATCTAAATCACCTACATCATCTTTGAATGAAAATAAAGTATCAACAGGTTCTCACATCAACTCTACTATATCATCTCCAATTAAACAAACACAACCAACAACATCACAAACTCTTCAAACGAGAAAACAATCACTATCATCTTCTCATCAAATAAGTGCTGAACAAATGAAACAACCGTTATTTAAAACATCAACTAATACTCAAAAACAGCAACCAAGTATTTCTAAACAGGAATCTTTTTCTTCACAACGAGTTGCTAAATCACCAGAGCCAGCCTTGAAAGATGTGTCTCAAAATGTTTCTAAATCCACTGAACCTGCTAAAACAAATACTACAGTTAAAGGAATACAAAAACAATGTAATAGTCCTGTTAAAGAAACAGAATCATCTACCGTACAAGAAACTATTAAATCACCAAAAACTCAACAACCTAACATTGAAAAACCTATAGTGTCTAAGCACCAATCTACTGCTAGCCAACCTAAATTATTGGTAAATCTTAAATCATCACCTACAAGCTCATCTCCATCAAATACAAATAGTAGTGAAAAAGAAAAAGTTGATTTATCTAAAATGTCATTTGTCCAAAGACAACGATATTTGAGAGAGCAGCAAGACTTAGAAGCACAAAAAACTTCTGTAACACGTAATGCTGTTAAGCCAACTCCTTCATTCAAAAAGTCTGCAACACAAAGCAGCATTATTGAAGAAAAACAAAAGGAAGGCATGAAACAAGAAACTAACCAACAAACTGAAGAAGTTGATTTGTCTAAAATGACATTTGTCCAACGACAACGCTGGGAAAGAGAACAACAAGATAAGAGAGCAGAACAAACAACCGCAAAATCACATGGATATGAAGCAAAGTTTGCTAAACAAACATCAACTCCTAAAGACATTGTTTATCAAGACAGCCATGAAGATATAAATGGTGCTAACAAAGAACTACAACAGGGTAACGAAGAAGACCAATGTGTCAAACCTTCTAGTATGGGACTCAAGTCAAGTGCTGCTCAAATTGTGGCTCAAAGGAAAAAATTACCAAAGAGTGGAAAGAACAATACTTTAACAGGATCAGCATCACTTAATGCTTATATCCAAAGACAAGAACAATACAAACAAGATGAAATTGAAAGAGAAAAAATACGTATGGAAATGCAAAGAAAACGTGAAGAAATTCAAAGAAAACAAGACGAAATTAGAAAGATGAGAGAAGAAACTGAAAAACAACATAAGAAAGGAGAAGAAAGATTAAAACAAGAAGAAGAACGATTCAAGAAAGAAGAGGAAGAAAGAAAGAAAAAGGAAGAAGAACGTTTACGACAAGAAGAAGAAGAGAACAAAAGAATTAAAGAAGAAAGACAACGTAAAGAAGAGGAATTGAGAAAAAAGAAAGCTGAAGAAGAACGAAAGAGAAAATTAGAAGAAGAAGCACGTAAGCGAAAAGAAGAAGAAGAACAAAGAAAAGAAGAAGAGGAAAAGAGAAAAGTAGAAGAAGAGTTAAAGAAGAAAGAAGAGGAAGAAAGAAAAAGAAAAGAAGCTATTGAACTGAAAAAGAAACAACTTGAAGAAGAACGTAAAAAGAAAGAAG